TAGTAAAAAAATGTTTAAAATGCGAAGAGAATCAGCAGCAGAAGAATCTGAAGGAGGAGGAGGAGGAGGAGGAGGAGGAAGACAAACAGAAGCTACGTAGGTAATTCGATTTGGTTTTAGGTAATGGTAAACTGTCAACATTATTTCGAACGTTTCGTTTCCTACCTGAAATATATTAGGGGTATATATAATTTATTAGTATATTATATACGATGATGGCAGTGGTGAAATGAAAACAATGCGTAGTGGAATTCTCGGTGTACGGTTTAGTGTCGAATCAGCGGCCTCTGCTGCGGATAATTAACATAAAACACTTTTTTCAGTATCATCAACGGATAAAAATCTTAGAGAGTACTAAGTGCCAGAGGAAGAAGTAGAAGTAGATCATCAACGAATAGGTCTGTACTTTTGAATACATTTTTATAAGATTTTGTTAAAACAGCTTATTACGTATATATTCGTATATATTTTTCGATTTGTTTATTTAGTTTTATACTTAAATATTATTTTACGATTCTCGATGATTCTTTTGTTACTATTTTGAACTTACGCGAGTATTGAAAACGGATACTACAAAATATTGCTTAAAAAACCAACGACAGACTGCTCTGATCCAGTAAAGTGTCACATTGTTGAAATGGAGTAATTGGAATAAAAAAAGAAAGTACATTTTTTTTAACAAAAAAAAAATTATCACCATTTGTGCTTTAGTTAATTTGAATAATATTTTGTGTCGTCGTGCCAATTGATAAATTTTTGGAAAACTGACATGTAAAAACGCTCAAATATTATTTTAAGTAGTGTAAAGGTCAAGTTCGGAGGATTAAACATCTTGGAGACGATTAGAAATAAAACTATCGTGGAAGGAATTTTTCGACGTTAGAATTACTACGCTCAACGGATCGAAAAAAAAAAATAAAAATAAAATGTACTCGACATCGGCGAAGCGTAACCGAAAAGTTTTTATCCAACAAAATCCAAGTTATTGTACTAATAAAATTAGTTTGTTGGAATTTTTGACTCGTTAAAGCGAGTTAAAATATATTTTTTAATTTCGTCATTTATTTGATTACGTAGTCAATATTTAATTTACTAACAAGAAATTAAGCGTAGTAGAGGTCGTATTTACAGTTAAAAATAAGACGTTTTAAATTGAAAATTTATCCATTTACAAGTTTGTGTGAAATTGTTAATAAAAATATCGAGAAGTTAATTACATAAATATGTGGTGAATTATATTTTTCGAGCTAATAGCAGGCATAGCAAAATAATTTGACACTACATCCGGGTAATATAATATGTATAATCAATCGATTATACATTCAAATTTGCTCATTATTTTTATTAAAAATAAAAACGCGCACATAAATAAATGTGTAATGAGTTCACACATTATTCGGTTGAATATTTCGGTTGATTTTTTCCAATAGACATCATTAATATAATTATTTTCAAACGTTTTAATTTTATTATTCATTAATGACCTTTATTATTATTATTATTATTAGCAATTAGGCAGTCGTTACGAAACTAGTAGTATATATATATATATATAATTATATTCGTTTTTCTCCTATAGAAAAGGTCAAAAAACATAGTTAAAGGATGCGTCAAACATTTAAAAATATAGTAACGATTTAATTTTTCTTCGAAATCCTGCTAAAAATAATGGTCCATACGATTTTCTTAATGAACAACAATAAAATAAAATATACGTATAACACTATTTGAATATTCATTTAAACGTCAATTTTATATTTTTCTACTAAGCTCTTTTTCAAATGACTGTTCCGGTAATTATATTATGCTGATTATTTTTTTTTAAACTATAATGTTTTACAGACATAAATTTAACGATGGTTTCTGAATCGGATCATATATACAAAGTGGCACAGACATAATAATAACTAAAATGCGACTACAACGAGTAATGATTTGCGTATTATTGAATTATATCCATTAGTTAATAATTTTCTATAAGGTTATTTTAACTATGATCCGCATAAAGTGTACATTTTTACTCTTTACTTAAGAATTATTCAATACATTTTTGTGTGCATCAGTATTTAATTATTTAATTATTGTATAATATTTTATGTTAAATTTTGTTATAGGGCCAGACCGTTACTCATAATAAATAATACCGATAGCGGCTATCCGGTTAGATAAATGTCACATTTTGTACATTATCAGAATAAAAAATTAATTTTAATTATTACACATATAGTTAAAAGTATATAATAAATTTTATTATATTCAATAATATCATAGGCACAAATATTGCTTGAGCTTGAGAGAGAGATCGAAGCTTACAAACGGACAATATAAATACTATGGAGTACAATAATTTGTATTTTTAGGGGGGATGCTGAACCCTCAGACCCCTGATTTGTGCCAATGCATACTGTTTACATGGATATACAATGAAGTGGCACTATGGGTAAGTTGGATGAGACCGAGTTGCCGCTCGACAAATCGTTTCAACTTTTCGGATCAGATATTATGTATAGTTACCGCGTTCGTAAACAATTCGTGCACTGCATTATTTGTGACTCCGGTAGTTATTTAAACTATGGTTAAAAAAACTTGATCAACTTTTATGTAGAAAGTTGTAAAAATTAATATTTAAATCAATGTTCCTTTTTAGTATACGGATCGTTAAATAGTAAAAACCGATATTTATGCAAGGTCCTAATGTGCGTTTGTCTTTCAACATAATGCGATTCTTTACCGGTATTCACAAAGCGTTGAGCGTTTCGTGGCGGTACCGTACACATAACAAACTTTCCGCGGATCGCATGAGATTAAAAATCTTACGAAAACAAACGGTAATAACGAACAACCCGTTCCAATGATTTGGAACCGTCGAAATAATTACGAGTACGATCGTCACGTGCAGAGAACGGGGACACTGCTCGTATCGTACACTATTAGGGTGACGTGAACAAGGCAGGCCGGACCCGGTACGCGATCCGAATCGTACATCGATCGGTCGAGGGTGCGGAAACGGCGGAAATCCATAACGCACAAAGTCAATCGTGATCAGGTCCGACAGCGTTAAGTCGGTTGACGTGCCTCGTCGAGGTCGGGTTGAAAGTGGAACAACACGAACACCGACCGCAACAAATCGGTAAACGGATTGATCGGGAAAAAAAGAAATAGGTTAGATCGGACGCCGGACCAATGGCGGCGGGTACTGCGCGGATGCAGAATAACGAACGCGTTACTATCGCGTAGGCGTAGACGGCGGGCGGTGAACACAAGAGACGTGTAATAGGCGCCGCCGCACGGTCGAAAGTTGACGATATAATATAGTGATTACCGCACGTCGAGGTTACCGTTTCCGCGGTCGTAGGACAAGTAACCAAGTGGGGGGGGGGGGTGAGGGTGATATTATCATACCGAGCACACACTACGAACGCTCACCGATGCGCGCGCACTCGTCGACGGTGAATGGCCACTGGGCGCTCGGACTTCTGGGTGGTCGCGTGTTCCATCGTCGTCGTCGTCGCAACGTCGTCGTCGTCGTCGTGTGTGGCTGCGCGCCGGCTCGCTGACCGAGTGCGCTTGCCAATTGTTGTTCACGCGTCGCCGGCCCGGCCGCCAACCCTATTGACCGACTATCGCGCCAGCGTAAACGCACCCCTCCGTCACCGGGACTCGACGCGCGCCTCCGCCACCGTACGTATCGCGCGCGTGCCCGAACCGTTTTGAATCGTCCACCGGCCGCGCGAATCGTCCGTCCCCTCCCCCCGACCGGCACCGTTCGGCCATTTCGTACCGATACATTACTGTATGGATGCGAAAAAATAAACGAATGTTGGCTTGAATCGATTGGCTCGTGGCCGTCGGGTATACTATGACGATGTTTATTTGCGCGTACTATTTACACCGTGCTCGCGTACGTGTACCTCGGCCGGGTAAATACATTGTTTCCTAGCCGACCGAAATGTGAAAAAACACCACGCGGCCCGGAACTGTTTGGATATTACTTGAAATGTGATTTTCAAACGGTTCTTTCTCGGTGCACTTGGTTAAAAATATATTTCTCAAAAATGTCATAATACGTATTGGTCGTTGTTTTGGCTGAACGCCGAATAGTGAGTGCGAGTGAGATTCAAATTTTTTATAATATACGTGCTCTCGAGAAAAATTGTTTGAAACTTAATCTAGGGTTTTTCTCCGTTATTCTCAATCGTTCAAAAAACTAAAGAGAATTTTAAACAGACCGAAAATCTTCAAAATACCAACCGCGCACCATTGGTAACCTTCCACGATTTTTATGATCGGATCAATCCTCCTGATCAACACGGACACGAAAAAAGATAAATCACATATCGTGGTAAAATCAATATATTCTTCGTTTGCTCGGAATATAAAATAACACTTAATAATATAAGGAGCGATTACGTAAAGGACTAGCAACATGTCACGTATAAACAATTGATCGCACAGATTAGAGTAGCGTTTCCCAAACTTTTTTCTGCCGGACCCCTTGGAGATAATAAAAATGATCGCGGACCCCTTAGTACAAAATTAAAAAACAATAATAAATAATAATACTTTGTATATTTTAAATTTACGTTCGCGGACCACAGTTTGGGAAACGCTGGACTAGAGTAATATCCTCGTTCACTTATTGTGCGTAAACAATTATTTATATTGCTCGTAAACTTAAAAATGTCGATAAAAATACTTTTTTGAACGATTACCATCGTCTGATTTAATATTGTATTATAAATTTAATATTTCGCGGAATTTATAAATGAAAACATTTTAGTTACGTGTAAGCATTGAAATAATTTGTTTTTTTTTAAGATTTCATTAAATTTAAAATATATAGAAAAATAACATATTACACAGCTAATATTGCTCATGAAAAACAAAAAATATTTATGTTAAACACACTTAGATCTTGCTTTAATAAAACAAAAAAATGTGAAAATAAATGAACACTCGAAAAAGCTAAAAAAAAACTCTGTATTTAATTTTTTTTTTTTTTAAATAGTTCTTAACACTATTAATGTACCTAATGTAATCGTTGATATTGTGTACTAATGTTCATAACTGTACAGTGTACAAACACCAAACAAAAACAAATGCGTCAATTTTTCTAACTCGTAATAATTTTTTATATTCTTGGTTTCCAAAAACTCTTCCATTCCATTAAGGTATTTGCACCTTCTCACTCGTAGACTAGTGACTGTCCCTGTGAAAACTACAAACAATTGTTATTTATGGTTTTTGTAAAGAAAGCTTAATATCTTCTACAAGTGCGGTGCACTATTAACAACTTACCATGAGTAAAGAAGAGCACTTTGGTATTCATCTTCTCTACCACGTTTTTCCTATTACGGTAAACGTTGTAATAAATATTCGTATTCGTCTAAATCACATTTGAAACATACAAAATAAACGCGAATTGAATAAGTATCACACAGCCTTAGGGAGAATAAGATTTTTTATTTTTATTTTTAAATATCAAACACGACTTACCATGTACGACAAACATTAATGCAGATCGAATCCCGCGATCGATGATGACATTCACCATTTTGACGCGATTGAAGTGCCTACTTTCCAATCGGTACAGCTGTAAAATAATTAAATCGATGTCGTATGCTCCCTTAACGTTCAAATCATGTGATTTGGGGTTGACCTACCTCAGACTTGTCTTTGTGTGTTTTCGGCAACTTCAATAGAACATTCGGTGCCGCTTTTCTCGCCCATCTGATCAACTACTCCAGTATCTTTCCTTCGTGTAGATCTACCGGCGGCGACGTGACGACTAAGTCTGCCCTCTCCACAGCAGTGTGTGCACGTCGGCAAATAGTCGCCTACCTCGAACCGTAAACGACGTTCTACCCCGTACACCAGTGCGTTGTGCCGCGCACAAGCGACTTTTGCCGGATCACCATCCATCGAATAAATATAACTTTTGCCATACGAATAAATAAACCGTCCATCGAAAATATCGCAAACCGTTCCGAGACCGCAGCGTATAAGTGTATCTTATCATTGAGACGATACGTTTCAAATAACAATTTAAATATTGTGTTGTTGCATTGCGACATGCGGTCGTTCGTTTTTCTCCACGGACGTCTGTGGACCGAATCTCGTTTTCCGTATTTATTATTATACGAGCCGCTCCCCCTTCCCCCATCTGACAAAACGTACACATACGCACCTATAATTACACACTAGGTCATCCGGTCATCCGGTACGGTAACGGTACGGGGTAGCACCGCGTGTATACCAATTATCGACACCCACGCCGCGCGTATCCGCGTCGACTACGGTAAACGCACGTACCGCTTTTTGTTTATAATAATTGCCCGCGGACGTGTGCACAGTACAGCCGTCCGGTATTATTATAATATAGACAACAGTATTTGTAAATACGTTTGAAAAAAAAAAAAAAAATGGACGAGCACAAAATATTCGTGGCCCGTCTCGTCGGTTTTTATCAACGAAATAGACCAAAAATATTGCACTTAACCGCGCTGTGTCCCGCCGAGTGTACGCATACAATCATATGTTAGGTGCGTGATTATTTACGGACCATTTGCATCCCGTAAACGTTCGATCAACATCATATGTAATATTACACACATATTTCTGTACGACTCGGTGTACGTACAGCGGTTAGGATACCGTTGTACGCAGCGTATTATTATAATCCTCGTATCCTGTTTCAAAACTATTTCAAAAGTATAGGAAATACTCGTCGCGGCGTATCAATAAATAAATGCCACACGCGCGCGCCGTGATACGACGTCTTGATTCTCTGAGTTCCGTTTGCATTAGCATAATAGGTATTACACGTACCCGCAAATCTAATGAATGGATCATCGGAAAACAGTTTTAAATAAATTGTTTCTGCTACTGTGTTTCAATGGAATACTCGAAAACCGGTAATAAATTAACGGTTTTCTTGTGTAAACCTACATTATTATTCTAACCGACAAAATATTATTTTCACCCAAGACCCACAGATTTTATCTATTGGATCATGATATCGTATGAAGACCTTAAATGGGTTACGATTTCACGAAACCACTACGAGGTAATTGAAATCATTTTAAGTACACATTTTAAACGTAAGAATGGATTTCGGAGATATGTGAGTATTATTATTTGAATATGTATAGCTATAATTGTATCTATTCGTGGTGGTCCGAATAGGTGTGAAACTAAAGAGAACGTTAAAATATGGTTTTTGTGAAAATCAAAACTTAATTTTTATACTATCGGACATGTAGAAAGTTAGACGATGGAGTACACGATAAATAACGTTTATAAACAATCATCAATATTTGAAAAATTAAAACAAATTTGAAATATCTTGTATTCCTATCACTTCATTTATCTGTTCAACTAAGTTTAAACGTTTATCATAATATGGAAGTGTACACAGTTTCTTGATCAATACGCTTACGTCACCAAATCCGGTATACAAAAGACCATGCGACCTAAGTCATAAGTCAGTCTCTTCTATGTATACAATGTGGTAAGACATACTTGGGCTTACTTTTACTCTTTAGACAACGAACGACTACCAGCCGTCTAATAATACATATGGACTCCGTAACTTTGATTCAAAACCGCAAATTTGTGTGACGACCCTCTCCATCAACCATCGCCTTCCAATAAAATCCTAAAATTCCATACGTGCGACAAAAACATAAAACCACGACTGTTTCTGATCCGCTCGATTTAATTTGATATTTAAGGGGTCTTATACAACTTTAATGTATAAAGACACTACATTTTTGTGATTTAAAATTATTTTTTTTAGCAGGATACGAAAACTGACCAGTCACACTGCAATGTGCGACTCGTAACTTATACCATGGATTGTAAATATATACTAAATACTATTTATAATCAATGGCATTGATGCGTACCAATATTACGATTATAGTGTTACGTAACAATATTTCGTCGAAAAATCAGCATAATTAATAGTTGATGTCGGACAATTAGCTGCAGGAATCAATTCAAACGTAATTCGTCCTTTAAGCGTCCTGTTACACGATTAAACGTGATTCTACTGTATATTGTTTTTCACTACGAACATTTAATAATTGATGTGTACATACAACCACGTGAACGTTTACGATTGTTATAACGCCACCCGGTAAGTACGTGTGTCGACGAAAATATGAATACGGTTGTAATCACAAGTTTTAAAATCGAGTTCCTCGCGGTTGGGGAGTTCATTTTATTTTTGTTCGTATCGTTATACTCGATCGTTCGTGCACCGGATCGGACAACTCGCGGAAACCCAAAGCTGTTGAACACGCGAGGCACCTACCCGAGACAACGCGAGGGCACAAAAAGTGGGTGCATTTACACGATACGAACACGTCGACGCGCAAGAACGCGTCGGGACGAACGACGTACGGCAAGAGCGTGGCAATAGTTCATCGGTCGCCCCCAAAAAAATGTAATATCACGTGGCGTTATACGTGTAATTAGGCCCGTTTCACATGGACCCGTATGAAAACGCGACCCTTCTACGTGTTCACATATACGGCGTACGTACTTTATCTACCCAGTTTTTACTAATTTTAGTTACGGACTACGCGTCATTCTCGTTTCCATGTCGTTCAGACGTATCCATATGGAAGACCGAAGAAAAAAAAAACCATTCGTAATGTATTATTATATTTTTAAATAAGGGTAAAAAAAAATCTTTGAAAAACGAACCGAGTTTTCGCGACCCATTTGTAATTTTATTTAACTGCTAAAACAATATTTTCATTTTTCCTAAAAGAATGGTATTCGTATGGGCTTGCACGGATCAGGCATGAACTTTTTCGGACCCGTGCGCTTGGAAGATTTATCTACAGATTGAAATGATTAAGATTTGATGATGAGCGCGCGCGTATGTGAAACGGACATAATGCAAGCCGCCGACAATTCATGCAAATGCGTGATAGTAACGATAACGTGTCTCATCGGTAAGCAGACGATAACGTCGTTGCTCACGGTTGTTACGCGATCGCGGTGTATGCGCACGTCTGGGGTACGCGGATCGGAACGGGATCGCGGCGGTAAACATTGCACATATCGTTCGTGGCCGGTGCGCCGCGGCAGCGCATTATACACCGCACCGGTAATAAATATCGGTTAACGATGTTTGTCGGCGCCAAAAGGCATAACGCGCAACAAAATGGCGGCCCGGTTCTCTTTGACGGTCGGCGGACCGCCGACTTGCACTGATCAAGACATCATTACGAACACCTCTTCTACGCAGCCGACTCGCCGCCTTCGTGGCGTACATCCCTCGAACTGAACCCGTCAAATAAGTGCGCGTTGCGCACGTCGCCGGCTCGTTTCGGACGCCGCGCGTTCAAGTCGCTATCGGGACCGGTAAAACGTTGCCATCGGTCGAAACGTTATTGGGATCGAGTTGATCGGGAGTTGTTTTTCGTTTGCAAATCCCGCTAATCGATTATTATTATTATTACGTTCGCGTGTAACATTCGACAATGGAAATGTGTGCAGGTAAAACTAATATGATTGTCCTTGATTTCGACGAACGTTTACACCCCCGCGAGTATTGATCAAATGTAGCGATTACTTAGCGCAGATACACATGTACAACTAATACGCTTCAATGGCCTATATTCCAAACGTTGTTATAGCAATGTTGTCGTTATTGTTTTTTTTTTTTTGCGTGGTCACGAGTCTCCTATACACTCTGTCCAGCGAGAAAGCGTGCCGCGGTACGACCAAAATCAGTTCATTCTTGCGCACAACCAGCCACAGATTTCCCGACTGAAACCGCTTCGTGATAATTTATTATTTACATAATTCTATAATAATTTCGGTGTGCAATAAGTCGTTTACCGACCGTTGTCGTATTATCGATCGGCTGTCTTTCAATGATTGGGTAGCTAAGAGAGGAAAACGAGATCTTAACGATCATCATTCTGCATGTGCAGAACCGGCACGTTCTCTCACTTCTATCATACCTCTCGTTACCCTAACGACAATTCTAAAACTTTAGACCCCCTCACACACACATACATATACGCTATCAATCCTTATCCCTATATACACCAGCATCCATTTCACACACTCCAGAACTTCTCCGTTCCCTAGCACACCTCCATGTTTTATCTGTACCTCCTTACACCCCCACCAAAAACTCTATCATACCTCCTCACATCACCTTTGCTTTCTTAGCACCCTCTTCATATCCTCTCTTTTTGTACCAACCCTTTATACTCTTAGCAACCCTCTACAAAAATACGGCTCTTTACCACCTTAATCCCTTCTATACTCACCATACCGTAGTAAACTTTTCAAAGTCACGTTCTATATATTTCTATAATGTCACAGTCCACAGAATATTGAATTAAAAAATTATATTATAAAATCAGCTTGCGTAAGTTTCCTGTAAATTGGTACTAAATCCAAATTTTTATCTATAATTTAAATTGTAAGATCTAAGAAATTAAATGTATTACTTATTTGTATTTTGAGTGTGAATTGAACGTTTTTATTTATTTTGTTTAAATATTTAACTGAATTTTATAATTGTTTATTTAAATCTCTAAATAAAATGAAAGTTTCATCAACATATCAATGATAATATCATAATAAGCATATTATACTTTTATATATAGTATTTATATATTCTTATTAATATTATTATTGGTTTCATAATTTTGCATGTGAATTTTAGATAAAAGAGCACCTTAATGTCCATCCATAACTAACCCTTCTTTTTTAAAATTGAATTTACTATTACTTTGCAAATAGTTTTGATTAATAATTATAATTATTGACTGAATAATTTCTTGTATTTCGTTTATATTAAATGTATTACAGTGTATAAGTTTATTATTTAAAATACTTACTGTTTCGTGTTTCGAAATGGATGTGTATACATAATTCTCTTGTTATCTTCTTCTCACAAGAACTAATTTTAAATAATCTCCCCTATTAAAATGCTTATGCATAAACAAATTATAATAATTATCTTAATATATAATTAATACTATACCTTTATGTAAGCAAATAA